GATATGACACAGTTAGCAATTCGTGGGAAACACTCCCCCCAGTTCTAAGTCAAGCCTTCTCTAAGAGTCACATTGACTCTCTTTGTTCTGTTGAGGACTATTTATATGTGATCACCAGTGGATCAATATGTGAACCTTTTAGGTATAGCCCAGCTAAGAATAATTGGCAAGGTGGGGCTAGTTTAGGTTTTGTTAAGAAACAGTTTGATGATCCAAACAGCCAACTGACCAATGCAGCAGCAACAGTTTGGAAGTCACATATATATGTGCTTCACGGTCTTAAGAAATATGAAAAGAGAAACAGTCCGGAAGAGAATAATTTTATCAGTTTGGGGCCCTCATCTTCTCTGGGTCCTTCCGTGGGTTTCGCTTTTTCAAGTGGATATTCTAGCGCTGTTTCAGTTTTTGGGACCAAGTCTCCGTCACCTCTTCCTGGGAGTATACTTGTACATGCTTCTGCTCCTCAGGTCTGGGTAGATAAGTCAGCTGTATTGCACCGCTTTGATCCAAAATTGAATGAATGGAACCAACTTTCCTCAACCTGCCATCCTCACTGTAATTCTGTTCTCTTTGTGGTTAATAACAGGCTCTATCTCGCAGAGGGTTGCACTCGCATTTCTCAATTTAACCTGGTTCCTCCAGGTCCAGCCCCCGTTGAAGTGTATGATGAAGGAAACGACACTTGGTCTGTTGTGGAACAAAAACACATTCCCCTAAACAACCTTGGTGCGGTAGAAATAGAAGGGAGGGTGTATTTCATCATCAACAAATTTCCAGTTGACAGTGGCATTAGAATCCCACCTGAGGAAATCTACCACGTTCATTTAGATGAATGGGAAAATTTGGCACAAGTAAGCAACCAGGCAGTTTTGTGTTATCTTCCTGTGAAAAGAGAATGCTTGAAAACAGAGCACGATGAAAATCAAGCTGACTAACAATTGTAGTTAGCATGAGATAGCTTATCATGTTTTATCAAATTGTGATAGCTTTTTTACAATATTTTTCAGTTAGGCAAGGGCATAGCTAGGGGGGTCCTGGTGTGTCTGAACCCCCCCTCCTTTTAAAGCTTTTTTTAAGCAAACACTCTTCAACAGGTGGCGAAAATTGCCATGAAAATATCTTGGCCATTCACTTTGATACAGTGTGATCCCTGTTTGAAAAATCCTGGCTTCGCCCCTGTTTGAGTAAACCAAAANAGGGTAAACCAAAAGAAAGTTGATAATAATAAGAACATGATACATGCATTGGTAATTCTGTCTTAAGAGTTTTGAAAATACTGCTTTTTAATTGTAGCAGCTTTGTAGTTGTTGTTTTGGAAAACCCAGTCGACTGCTTTTAAATTTAAACAAGACTGAGTTAGACGAAACGTTTAACATGCTTGGTTTTACAGTCAAATGAATTCTGTAGACATTTGATTTTTAGAGTTATATAGACTATTAGAGCCAGAGTTATATGTAGACAGATATTGACAGAAGTTAACGAGAACTGTTTCTTTTAAGTGTAATACCCGTGAGTACTGTATTTCATGTTGTATTTTAAATGTCACAAAGTTTCAGTAGTAGTAAAATATTGAGTGACTTCAAAACAAGAAATGTATTGCCTGGTAGATCGAGACGTTCCGAGGAGTTTTAGGGAATAAGGAAACGTTATCATTCGTTCAAAATGATATCTCTATTGTTAAAGGAGACGTTGGCAAAAGAGTTTCAGTAAGTGTATAATTTACTAATGGAGGACAATTGAGAGACTTTTTTTTTTTAGAGATAAAAGGAACATGTATCTTCTGCTCAGAGAATCTCATGACTGTGTATTAATACTTTCACGAGCAACAAATATATCTTTTTATTATGTATGTTGTCTTTTTACGTAAGCTTCATTATGTTTTATTTTTTTTATGTTACCTTCATTATTGAGCATAGGAATGAATGATTTCGGGTTAGTAAGCTCTCTCTTATTAATTCAAGGATGTGTACAATCGTTTAGAAGCTACTTTAGGCGTTTTGTGTTAATCTGGCGCGGTACGTAAATGAACTGACATAGTTACCGTTTTTTGAGAAATCAAAAGGAATAAAACAACCCAGAGATTTTCTCGAATTCTATTTGATTTATCAAGAAGATCGTCACATATTGGGTCTTGCCTCGAAGAAGTAGATGGGAAAACATGTTATGAGTACAATATATAGGGAGAAAACAAAACGTTTCCTGCCACTGTGCAGAATATGTTGGTAATTATTTGTATGTAGCTGCACATAAGCAATCTGGTGACAATGTTATCTATCATTATGATATTGTTAATAATTCCTGGGAGACACTTCCACCTTTTCTGGATTCCGACCATCAGATCAACTGCCTATGTTCTATTGATGATTACATTTATGCAATCAGCGAATCTAAACCACTTCAGAGATATAGTTTGGCTAAAAACAATTGGCAAAGTGGAGCTAATTTGAGTATCTTTAAGAAAAGTGATCGTAAAGATGCGTTATTTACTGTAGAAGCAGCGATCTTTAAATCTAAACTATTTACAATTCACGGATATAAACGAAATAAAGGTGACTCAAAGTCACCTAATTGGGTAGATAAAGCAGCCATTGTGCATTGTTTTGACCCAACTAAGAATGTATGGAA